GCTTCTTGTTTCATACACCTTAAAAAGGTGGCTCAGAGCTCTTGCACCCTGTGCTCAGCTGCCACCCTCCAAAAATCCTGCTCCTGTGAAGCAGCTCGCAATGGGCAGGGACTAAAATTTGTCTTTAAACCAGAGGCTTAACTCACAATTTTAGGCTTTCTCCAAGTTCCCCCAGCATCGACAGGCTTTTCCACAATGGGGGGAGTCTCCGCAGCCGCCTTGCTCCCCGGCACACGGGGCAGGGAGAGCGGCAGCCGGCACAGGGGGCAGGGAGGGCGGCAGTGGCTGCTCGCCGGGACACGTGGGGTTACTTACGCGCCGTCTCCGTACACTTTGAGGGCGTTGATGCAGGTCTTGTCCCAGCCTTGTCCCTGCAGAAAGGAGCAATCTTCCGTCAGCTCCAGGCTGGGACCGCTAAAATGGCTCCCCTCAAATATTTCGATCCTGTAATTCTCGCCATGCTGGGGACAAAGGGAATTAAATCAACCAAAAGAAAAAAAAAAAAAAAAGAGCAGCAAATTATTTCTTTGGCTTTTCTAAGGCAAAGGGGAAGGCAGAAAGGTGCTTCAGAAGGGAAATGTGAAGCCCAGTACCACCAGTGTACAGAGCACGCACAAACTCATGCCACCTCCTAGCACCTTCTTACAGCTGCCGTGCCCATGAAAACACATCCTTCGGGGGCTGCATTGCACCCAGGCACATGTAGCCCCTCACCCATCGGCTGATCCCCCTCCAACAGCCCACCAACCCTCCGTCCCCAACACAGCAGCAGCTGCAGCCCTGCTCTCCGTGCACTCACACAGCAAAAAAGGGATAAATATCCCGAATGTACAGTGTTAGACTATTTCCATACACTAATCTATATCGCCTCCAGTTCCACGCATAGCTGGGGGTCCTGATGGGAGCTGTTGTGCCTTTCTTTAAGGAAAAAATTAAGAGAAAAGAAAAAAAAACCTTCCCAGCATCATCATTGCTGTGTGAGCACCTCAGGGTGACACGACATGAAGTCCTCTGGGGAGATTTCTGCAGCCTAGCTATGTGGGACAGAAAGAGCCGGAGGGATATTTTTAAGCTAAATTCAGAGAATACCTAAATGCATATTTCAAATAAACGCCGTCAGCGCACAAGCGAGCCGGGCTGCGATGCCAAACCCCACAGCAGGCGGCCGCCAGCAGCAGCCCAGCGGATACAGTGCCTGAGCAAACATCCCGCTGGGAAGCTGCGCTGCAGAAATCCCGTGAAGCATCACTGGCATCTGGCAGGGAAAATCGTGAGGGAAGGACAGGCATGTCCTCGTGCTGGCTGGGCTCCAGGGCCCGAGGCAGAGCATCCCTCCGTGCACGGACCACGGAGGAGGTGCTTTAGGAAGGATGTTACAGACCCGAAACAAACCCATTGCCCTGCCAAAAAGCAGCTTCGGGGCCAGTGAGAAACCCTACCAGCCCCAAATGGGTTCATCATTGTCCCAGGGGTGATGAGTGGTAGGAGAGTTGATTGGAAATCACTAACCCAGATTCATTTTTCTTTACTACTTTTTAATCTTCCCATTAAACCTTCTTCTGGGCGGTGCTTTTAAAAGCTTCATAAGGGAAGGGCTATCTAGCACAGGGAAAAAAAATCGTTTTAGTTTAGGATTACTGGGGGGGAGTTTGCAACAGCAGAGAATTCAGCTAAAATTCACTAGGAGGAGCCCAGCTGCCCTATGGGTCTAGTTTGGGGAGCCCTGGGGCTGCCCACTGCCTCTCCAAGGGCAACGGCCCTCCTTCTTAATTCCCCCATTAAGTATTTCATAGCGGCTCGTGTTAAAAAGGAAATGTGACACTCCCAGGACCTTGACACTTAATCTGAAAAAACACGGGAAGATCTCATCCCGGCACAGCCGGGGCGTGCAGCGCTGTGGGACGAAGGCGACGCATCCCCCCGTGCACAGGGTGGCAAACCTTCCCTGGGAGACTAGTTCCTTCTCAATGGGATGTATTATTTCTAAAGAGCGTAGATTTTTATTATGCTTATTCACAGAGCTCCCATTAGCAGGAGAAATAAAGCCCGACAGCAGCTCCATCCCACTCACCATCCCGACGGGCCGGCAGGAGCCCAGGTGGTCGCTGCGGCCGTTCCAGCGATAGAAATCGGGGTACTCGCCGTGCTCCAGGATGTACTGCTGCCCTCGGAAATCAGGGTGATCGAAGCAGACCCAAGCCCCGCTCTGGACGCAGATGGAGTTGACCCGGTTGAGGAAACCTTGGTCCTGGAAGTTGCTGCAGCTGCCTGCTTCCTGCCCGTGAAGGATTTGCCTTCATACAAAGTGATCTGGGGGGGGGAAGGAGGGAGAACAGGCTGGTGGTGAGGAGCAGGGCACAGCCAGACTCCCATTTTGAGCAGATGTGCATTTCTTGCAGATGTATCATTTTAGGGTGGTTTAGGATTTTTTTTTTTTTTAGCTGCTTCCCAGTGAGAGGAGCATGGCATCACTGGCATTTTTTTTTCCCCCTAAGAACTGTATTTGTTTTTCTGGGAACGTAGTGTATCCCGCATTTACGACACTTCTCGCCGCCTCATGCTTGCTCGCACATTTCTCCAGCAG